GAAAGTTGGCCTTCCACTGTCAGCCAGGGCCTGTAGCAGCTCAGTGTCAGACACTGCTGCTGATCCAGTTTACCGCTAGCGTCGTACTTTGATGGAAGGTGTCTTCATGAGAGACTCCATTCTTTTGATGCCATGATCAACAGAGAATGTCCCTTGCTGGATCTCCCAGTCTGCAGCATTTAGTGCTCAGTCCTTTGCATCACATAAAACCATTCCCCTTCAATCCCCACCATCAATCCACCGTCACTCAGCCTGGCTGAAGCATTAGCACCTCACAGACTGCAATACCAGAGGCCAGCCCACTTTCCATTTCAACTGTAAAAATACAAAAGCGCTATATTCATACTTCTCACAGACAAAAGGCCCTTTCATGCCCTCAGCTAAAGTGACTATCTAGGTGGTCTCCAGGGCTACCTCTCCTGGCAGCAGTTTTCTGTTGACCTTTAGACACAAACGCTCCTTCCTTGGCAATAGGATTTAGAAAGCTTGCCATGAATCCCAAACTCCAAATTCCAGGATTCCCATCTATCACCTCCTGAGAGGCGATTAGCTTTTGTGTCTCAATAATTCAAGCCCCAAGGCCTCCAAAAGCAGAGGAGACAAAACTTATGTTTAGTTCCTTGCAAGGCATTCTTGTGTCAAAGGTTAAAAGAGTTCGTGCCTCTGTGATTTCTCCTGTCTAATAGGGAAAATATGCATGGAAATTAAAATGAAAGTATAATGTAAGATATATGAGGAATAGGCTGGGTGAGGTGGCTCACGCCTGTAATCCCAGCATTTTGGGAGGCTGAGGCAGGCAGATAACAAGGTCAGGAGATCGAGCCCATCCTGGCTAACACAGTGAACCCCATCTCTACTAAAAATATAAAAAATTAGCTGGGCATGGTGGCAGGCACCTGTAGTCCCAGCTACTCAGGAGGCTGAGGCAGGAGAATGGTGTGAACCGGTAGGTGGAGCTTGCAGTGAGCTGAGATCACGCCACTGCACTCCAGCCTGGGCAACAGAGCAAGACTCTCAATAAAACCAAAAGATATATGAGTAAATAAAGGCAGAGGCAGAAGTGCCTAACTTTTTGGGGGTTCTGGAGGGGTAGACCAAAGGAGTTCAAAGAATTTTAATTATGCCTCGAAAAAATAGTAGCAGTTTTCCCGATGAATAAGGCATTAAATCCTTTCTAGGTATGCATTCATATATCACTAATTCAATAAGTATGTACTCAGTATCTGCACAGTGAGTGACACTATTCTAGCTGCTATGGGTAGAGCAAGAAGCAAGGCAAACAACTCTCCTCCTCTCTTGGAGGTGGAAGGCAAAGAGCTATGCAGGCAGCTTGTTGTCTGTGTCCCACATGTGGCTGAGTCACACAGGTCCTCCCAGTGGGCTGTCTTACATGGCTAACTATGCCCAAGACAACAAGCATCACCCTAGACATCTTCTACCAACATAAGGTGGGTCAATATTTGTTAAGCATTTACTGTGTCCCGGGCTCTGTCTGTTCTATGTCTATTATCTCATTTAATTCTCATAACAATCCTATGAAGATAGTAATTTATGACCCCCATTTTACAGATGAGGAAAACAGAGATACTCATGATCAAGAGGATTGTCTAGGGTCAAAGACTTCATAGGTAAAGGAGTTGGATACGAACCTAAGCATTTTGATTCCAGAGCCTGGACCCTCAGTCATTCTGCTTAGTTCCGCCAACAAACATCCCTCTACTGCCTCTTTTAATTACACTGCTTCCTTTTCTTCACTCCCTGGCATCCTCTGCCCCTAATTCCTCATGCTCATCTTTAGTTACTTGTCTCCTTTCCCTGTCCTGTACCCACTCACTATCTTAATGGGAGGCAATTAGCTGGGAAGGCAGGCAGGAGCTACCATCTGACTGCTCTCAGAAATCAGGGGAGTTTTACTTCCAATTTAAGTTTCCTGCCTAAATGCCATACTTACTAAGGGAGTATGACAGTCTCCCACACACCAGTGAGAAAGAAAGGCAGTTTCAGACATCTCTGAACACGTTCTTAGCGTGTTCTATCATTTCCACTGGACTAGGAGCTCCTTGGAGCCTGCATTTCGATGATCATCTTTGCATTCCAGGTAAAGACAAAATCCAGGTTCTATCCCAGTACCAATCACAGAAGGCACACATGCTGTATAACACTTTTTTTTCCTTGTAAAATGGGAAAGTATAATTGAATTTAAAAATTATTTTTATTTAGATGTTTTGTATATTTACCATAAAGTGATTGATGATTAGAAGTTGAGGAGAATTGATAACATAAGAAGATAATGCATTTCGAAGGGGTTTTGGAAACAAACAGCAACAGGAAAAGGTAAGAAGAGGCCAATTGCCGTGGCTCACACCTGAAATCCTAGCACCTTGAGACGCCGAGGCAAGTGAATCATCCGAGGTCAGGAATTCGAGATCAGCCAGGCTAATATAGTGAAACCCCATCTCTACTAAAACTACAAAAAATTAGCTGGACATAGCGCTGTATGCCTCTAGTCCCAGCTACTCGGGAGGCTGAGGCAAGAGAATCATTTGAACCTGGAAGGCAGAGGTTGCAGTGAGCCAAGCTTGCTCCACTGCACTCCAGCCTGTGTGACAGAGCGAGACTCCATCTCACAAAAAAAAAAAAAAAAAGTAAGAAGAATTATCAATTATAGAAGGAACCAATAATGATGATAAAAGTACCAATAATAATTACCATTGTATTGCATTAAACACTGTTTTAGGTGTTTGCCTATGTTATTAGCATTTACCCCTCATTCTCATAACAGATCATTTTATAGATGAGAAAATTGAGACTTGGAGGGCTTAAGAAACTTAACCACTGGGTGCGGTGGCTCACACCTGTAATCCCAGCACTTTGGGAGGCTGAGGTGGGCGGATCATCTGAGGTCAGGAGTTCGAGACCAGCCTGACTAACATGGTGAAATGGAATCTCTACTAAAAATACAAAATTAGCTGGGCATGGTGGCACACACCTATAATCCCAGCTACTCATGGTGGCACACACCTGTAATCCCAGCTACTTAGGGGGCTGAGGCAGGATAATTGCTTGAACCAGGGAGTTAGGGGTTGCAGTGAGCTGAGATTGCACCATTGTACTCCAGCCTGGCGACAGAGTAAGACTCCATCTCAAAAAAAAAAAAAAAAAAAAAGTCTGTTTATCTGTCTATCTCTATATATATATACATTTAAGAATCCGCCTTTACTCTTGTCTAATTACCCTTTCTTTCCCAGAGGTAACCATTTTCTTTATGCATTTGCGCACACACACACACACACACACGCACTGGGTTTTCTTTTTCATAAATGAGATAATGGACAATATTGAGTTTCAGGCCTTTTCATATTTCAAAGCCAGAATAAATATACAAGGACTGTAACCTGTTTATCATTCTAGGCCTTTTTTCTTAAGGCCCTCCAATCTAATTTGTATTGTAGCCACTGCAAATATATCATAGGCACTGGGAACTGGACTGCATTAGAGAAAAAGGTGCATCAATAAGATCTCCCTGAGATATCTGACCTTGTAGAACCTCTCCTCTTGTGGCTTTAGCACTGCAAAACCAAGCTGAGAAGAAAAGGATGGAAGAGGAGAGTAAGGGAGAAATGTATAGGCCCCTTGGGCCCTTGGATGCCTGGGCTATTAGGGTTTGGATACAGTTCTCGCTAGGACTCTAAACTCTTTTGCCTCTTATAGCCAGAGGGATAGAGTTTGAAGCATGTAAGATTTTGGGAAACATGCAACTGACCAAGGTCTAATCATTGATGATTGGAAGTGAAATGTGCAATAAAAGTCAACTGGGAGTTAACTCAAAGGCATTTTGAAAGTTTGCTTCAGAGAGTTAAAATTATAGCCTTTTGTCCCAAATTTCTCAACAAATACTCTATAGAAATTTTTAAGCCCCAGAGTCCGTAACTAATGTTATTTAAGGCAATTTTATGTGTCTAATTGTACAGATTATTTGCTAACTTTTGACCAAGAAATGATCTCAAAATACCCTTGTGTCTACTGATCTTTCAAGGTAAGGGAATACTCTGGAATGCTTCCCATTTTCCAAATGTAAGATTTTCCAAAATAAACTTTGGAGTAACTGCACGGTTGATATCATGTGAACATTTTAATTCACACAATCATTCTGCAGTTTATGGGAGCTTGGCTTTTTTCCAGGAGGTTTGGAAGTCCAAGAGCCGGCTGTTTCTTCTCTGTGGGAGAAAGATGGAGCATGTGAATCAGAATTGGTAAATTGGAGAAGAGGTCACAAACTGAATGGACTTAAGCAAAGTGCAGTGCAATCTGCAGTGGGAGAAAAGCCAGTTGTACAGAGGGGAAGGACTGGTTACCATTAAAGTCTTCAAAATTGAGACCTCAAAGGAGAAATGAATGGAGAAATGAATGGAGAACAACTCCTTGTTTTTCTCTCTCTCTCTTCTAGAGGATGGGGCTGGTGTAATGAGATCCAGGTGCAACCCTTGAGATATCAGGGATCCCCACCCTGGTCTATTCAGAAGTCCCCCAAACCTTCAGTGCCTATAGTTCATGTACTGCCTCTTCCAAGGAGCCTCCCTTGATGGCTCGATTGCAGTCATCAAATGACATCTTACTATTGAGATGATCTGTTTCCTTGTCCTTTTCTCAATGGAATGTGAGATTCTTGAGACAAAGATGTAACAGGCACACAATAATTATTTGTTGAATGTTGGCTGTATCAGCTTCTCTGGTTGGAAATAATCCTCCCTCCTCTGAGTTCCCCTGGTGCTTTGCACTTACCTCATTCATGTGATCTTTTTCACATTCCACCTTGTACTATAATTTCTGCATTTTTTAGCTCCACTATTAGACTCAAATTCTTCTGTAACAGAGATGAGATAATGCATATAAAGCATTAGTACCATGTCTGCTGAATAAATGATAGCTATTATTATTTGTGTAATGAGGCACCTGGAGGAGCAGAAAATGCATTTTATTTAAAAAACAGCTTTGGAAAATCACATTTGAATAGATCTTTATTTTGCAAGAATCACTTGAGTGAATTACATTACTACAAGAGACCTACTGCCTTGGAAGAAGGAATAATATGATGACTTGGTCTTGAAATATCTGTTCTTTCCCATTCCCTTGGGATAGAAGGCTGGGGTTAAGTAGGTGAGCCAGTGCTAAGCTGCACAACTTCAGGGGACACCATGCATATTGTAATACACTGCGATGGACATGTTCTGAGGGGCACAATGTGGATGGTACCCCTGGAGTTCTGCAAGGAAGCCACCCTGAAAAAAGAAAAGGAAAAGAGGCTTTGACCCTTTATCTTTGAGGTCCTAGGTTAGAGGTTCCCAAATGGATTGGGATGGTACTCACTGAGAATTATTAGCAGGAAAGAAGAACAAGGGCCCCAGAGAGGCACTTGCCATAAGGGAAGGGCTGTCTGCAGAGCACTGGGCTCAGCAAAGCTTTCTGACTAAGGCTAGATGCCATTGGGAAAAAAGAATGGATCTGAATCACTGAAGGGCCACTGTAACCTAAAAATCTTTCTGGGCTCTCCCCAGCACCGGTCAGAAACACCAAGTAAATCTAGAAGTCTTTTTTCCTCTCTATTTTACCAGCTGCTTTTCCTCGAGGGTCCAGGAAGTTGAGACTGATGTTTTAATTTCACTTCAAGTTTACCATCCTGTACTGTCTATGCTCAGCAAGTGTTAATGACTAATCAGCTAGCTGGTTGAGTGAAAAGTTTTAATATTGAAAGAATTGGAGTCATTCATTATTATTTGATTCCAGACATGAAACAGAATGGCAATTCGAGGAAAATAGTCCTATGTGATTTTGTGTGTGTGATTTTTATTATTAAAAAACTAAATCTATCATTATATTAAGAAGCTTTCCTTTTATAAGCTTATAACCATATAAACAAGAATACTCTCAGCCCTACCTTCTCTGGCCTCAATGTGGCTGTCAAGATATTGGGTCTGGGTGAGTCAAAACTAGGTTTGAGTCATGTTTTGCAACCTATTTGTTTTGTGATCTTTAGCAACTCACTTAAGTTCCAAGTGTGTTTCTGGTGTATAAAAGGGGACAACAGGCTGGGTGAAGCGGCTCATGCCTGTAATCCCAGTACTTTGGGAGGCCAAGGAGGGCAGATCACGAGGTCAGGAGATCAAGACCATCCTGGCTAACACGGTGAAACCTTGTCTCTACTAAAAATACAAAAAATTAGCCGGGAGTGGTCACAGGCGCCTGTAGTCCCAGCTACTCCGGAGGCTGAGGCATGAGAATGGCGTAAACCCGGGAGGCAGAGCTGGCAGTGAGCCGAGATCGCGCCACTGCACTCTAGCCTGGGCAACAGAGCGAGACTCTATCTTAAAATAAAATTAAATTAAATTAAAATTAAACAATAAATAAATAAAAGGAGGCAATTGTACATGGTTCACAAAATTAGATGCTACGTGTCAGACACTAAACCTGACACAAAATAAGCACTTAATAAATGTTAGCTATCACCATTTATTATTTCCTTCATCACCAAACTCCACTCTGCATCCTTTTATTATTATTATTATTATTATTATTATTATTATTATTATTATTTTGAGACGGAGTCTCACTGTGTTGCCCAGGCTGGAGTGCAGTGGCATGATCTCGGCTCTGCCTCCCAGGTTCAAGCCATTCTCCTGCCTCAGACTCCTGAGTGACTGGGACTATAGGGGCGCACCACCATGCTCAGCTAATTTTTGTAATTTTTAGTAGAGATGGGATTTCGCCATGTTGGCCGGGTGGTCTCGAATTCCTGACCTCAAATGATCCAGCTGCTTCGACCTCTCAGAGTGCCGGGATTACAAGTGTGAGCCACCATGCGCCCGCCTCACTCTGCATCCTTCTGCACCTTCCCTGTGTTCATATTGAAATATCCTACAATCCAGTACCCGTGATCCACACACTTTGATGGAGTTTTTTTCATGGTTTTTTGTTTTTGTTTTTGTTTTCTGAGACAGAGTCTCGCTCTGTCACCCAGGCTGGAGTGCAGCGGCGCGATCTCGGCTCACTGCAAGCTCCGCCTCCCGGGTTCATGCCATTCTCCTGCCTCAGCCTCCCAAGTAGCTGGGACTACAGGAGCCCGCCACGAGGCCCGGCTAATCTTTTTGTATTTTTAGTATAGACGGGGTTTCACCCTGTTAGCCAGGGTGGTCTCAATCTCCTGACCTTGTGATCCGCCCACCTCGGGCTCCCAAAGTGCTGGGATTACAGGCGTGAGCCACCGCGCTCAGCCTTTTTCTTGTTAAATAGTCCTTTTTTTTTGTATATACTTAAGGGATATAATATACTTTGATATACATATACATAGTGAAATGATTACTACAGTCAAGCAAATTAATATATCCATCTTCTCACAGTTCCTTTTTTTAAAAAAAAAGTTTTCTAGCTTTTTTGAGATATAATTGACAAAATCTTATAAATTGAAAGTATAAATGTGATAATTTGATATATGTATATTGTGAAATGATTACCATAATCAAGTTAGTTAACACAGCTGTCACTTCACTAGTGAACTTAAATGTATGTGTGTGTTCACGGGGGCGGGTTGGTAAGAACATTTAAGATCTCTCAACAATTTCAAGTGTATAGTATTACATGGAAACTATAGTCACCAAGCTGTACATTAGGTCCCTAGAACTTACTCATCTTATAACTGCAAGTTTGTTCCCTTTGACCAACATTTCCCCATTTCCCCTGCCCCCAGCCCCTGGCGACCAGTATTCTACTATTTGTTTCTATGGGTTCAACTTTTTAGATTCTATACATACGTAAGATAATACAGTATTTGGCTTTGTCTGTCTGGTTTGTTTCACTTAGCATAATGCCTTCAAGGTTCATCTATGTTGCAAATTATGGTATTTCCTTCTTTTTAAGGCTGAATAATATTCCATTTGTCTATACATAACACAATTTATTTACCCATTCATCTATCAATAGACACTTAGGTTGTTTTAATGTTGTGGCTACTTTAAATAATGCTAGAGTGAACATGGGTGTGCATATTCTCTTTGAGATATTGATTTCATTTTCTCTGAATATATACCCAGGAGTGAGATTGCTGGGGTCATATGGTAGTTCCATTTTTAATTTTTTAAGGAACCTCCATACTGTTTTCCATAACGGCTGTACCAATCTACATTCCCATCAAGAGTGGAGAAGGATTCCCTTTTCTCCACATCCTTACCAACATTTGATATATTTTGCCTTTTTGATGACAGCCATTCTAACTGGTGTGAGATTATATCTCATTGTGGTTTTGATTTGCAATTCCCTGATGGTTAGTGATGTTGAGCACCTTTTCATGTACCTGTGGGTCATTTGTATGTCTGCTTTGGGCAAGTGCCTACTGAGGCTCTTTGTCCATTTTTTAATTGGATCATTGGTTTTTTGCTACTGAGTTGTATGAATTCTTTATATATTTTGTATATTAACCCCTTATCAGATATATGGTTTACAAATGTTTTCTCCCATTCCATAGGTTGCCTTTTCATTCTGTTGATTGCTTCCTTTGCTTGTGCAGATTTTTAGTTTGATACAGTCCCACTTATTTATTTTTGCTTTTGTTGCTTGTGTACTTGAATGTTCTTTTAAAGGTCTTCAATGACTTTCTTACTGCCAAGGCCAGTGAATACTTTTCATTGTTTCCACTGCTTTCTTTGGGGTATTTGATATCCCCAAACACTCTGCTTTTTGGAATTCTCTTCCTTTTGTTTCCATGACAATCCATTCTCCTGATTTTCCTGATGAACCACAATGCCTCTCTTCTCAATTTGCTTACTTGGCTTCTTCTTCTTCTGTTAGCCAGACCTTACGTATTAGTACTCCAATATTTAATTATTCACCTGTCTTTCCTTTTCACCCAGCACACTGCTACCTTAACTTCAATTCTTATTCATACTCCAACTACTCTTAAATACATATTTATACTTCTATGTTAATCTCCAGACCTGTATTTTTGACACCTTACTTGACATCTCCACCTGTATTTCTCTTGGGAACCTCAAACCTAAGGTATATAAAGTAAAATGTATCCTCTCCCACTCCAAACCAGCTCCTTATTCTGTAGTCATTTTTCTATTAGTGGTATTACTACTTCCACATTCATTCAAGTAAACTGATGTTATCTATAAGTTCCTCTCTCACCACACCCCTCCGCACCCCACTGCCATCAATATGCACTCATTCTATTTATTCTACTCCTAAACACCTCTCAAATCTATCTTTTCTTCTACATCCTTACTGCCAGAACCTTGATTTAGGTCATCATTTTCTCTTGTCCAAATATTGCAGTAGCATTCCACATAACTGTCATTTTCTGTTTATAAAATACAATATCACTCATCAGCTAAAACCCTTTACAGACCTCACACTCAAAACTGGACAGAACCAGAGTGGGGCTGCTAGGGAAAAAAAAACAATAATAAGAATAATTTACTTTTAAATTTTCAAAAAAAATTTTTTTTTTGAGACGGAGTTTTGCTCTGTTACCCAGGCTGGAGTGCAGTGGCGCGATCTCGGCTCACTGCAACCTCTGCCTCCCAGGTTCAAGTGATTATCCTGACTCAGCCTCCCAAGTAGCTGTGACTATAGGCACCTGACACCTCGCCTGGCTAGTTTTTTGTATTTTTAGTAGAGATGGGGTTTCACCACGTTGGCCAGGCTGGTCTCGAACGCCTGACCTCAGGTGATCCACCTGCCTTGGCCTCCCAAAGTGCTGGGATTACAGGCATGAGCCACTGTGCCTGGCTACATATTTTCATTTTGTGGTACATATACACCATGGAATACTATGCAGCCATAAAAAAGAATAAGATCAGGGGCTTGGATGGAGCTGGAGGCCATTATCCTTTGCAAACTAACACAGGAACAAAAAACCAAATACCACATGTTCTTACTTTCAAATGGGAGCTAAATGATGAGAACAAATGGACACACAGAGAGGAACACACACTGGGGACTACTGGAGGGTGGAGGGTGGGAGGAGGGAGAGGATTGGGAACAATAATTAATGGGTAGTAGGCTTAATACCTAGGTGAGGAAATAATTTGTACAACAAACCCCCATGACAAAATTTACCTATATAACAAACCTGCACATGTACCCCTGAACTTAAAAGTTAAAACATAAAAATCCATTTCCTTTCTATTTTGCACAGTGAGCAGGGTAAGTGAGCACGCTTATGCAGAGACAAAGTTTATGGGAGGAAGAGGAGAATATATTTATCTTCTGTAATAGAAGCAGC